AAAAAAAAAAAAAAAAAAAAAAAAAAAAAAAAAATGCTTTAAAAACCGTAAAAGAAAAGTAATTTCTTTTTCTCTCTTTCTTTTTTCGCCTTGTTTTCTCCTCAGTTTCTTCCTGTACAATTAACAAACGTAGGCGTCAAAATGTAATTTCTTCCTTTTCGAGCCTATTTGCAAGTTTTTTCGTCTCTAAAAAAAAGAAACAAAAAAAAGCGAAACAAACGACACAAATTGCTTCAGCATAAAGATCAAAGTTTAGGCGTAAAATCATCGGACATTCAAAAAAAAGCAACGCTGTTACTGGCTGTCAGAGTTGTTGTTTCCAACATTAAAAACCGAAAATTCTTCCCCTCGCCAAACATCATCACCATTACGATGATTTTTAATCATAAAAGTGAACAAAAATCGCAGAATTTGGTACTTTTCCTGACCAACAAAAAAGCAAGAATCATACTTTCTACTCGTTTTCCTTCTCTGCCTTACTCAGGTTTTCCAATATCCATCAAATTATACAAATTTATAGCTTCAAAATAGTTTCTTGCATAAGCAGGGTTTTCAAAAGTGATGGCTTAAAAGTGAAAAAAAAAGTTAAAAAAGCCGAAGCACTAAAACCGAAATATTTTTGGTTTTTCAAGTGAGAAAATTAAAATATTTCATCGTTCTCTTCTTCTAACCTTTCTTTCCCATTACCTGAATGAACAACAAAACTACGCCAGCACTCAGCTGTTAAACTAATAAACAACAAACTTGAGCCAGTTTTATCTTTTTTCTTCTTCCTTTCTTTTTCCTTCTTCAATTTTCATAATCCCGCCAACACAAGGCTTCCTTCCCCAGTTAACCAAAATTGCCTAAGCCGATCCCTGCCTAAAGCCCACGTGAAATTTGACTCTAGTTTTTCGTTTATTAGCAATCCCATTTTCCAACCGGAAAATGCCACTTGCTGTTTATTGTGCATCATTAAAAGCTATACACAAACACACGTTTGCACATACATACAGCAGCAATACTTATAAACGAACATAAACATACACATTCACTCAAACATACACACAACACACATACAAATCTATGACATTACTTAGTTTGTCATTCTACCTCCTCCCTACCAATTTCTCCTCTCTAAATTTTTTTTTCACTTGAAAACCAATTCTACACTTTATTTCAATAAAGCAGTAGACTGAAGCTTTGAGGGTAAGTTCAGAGAGTAAAAAAAAAACAATAATGATAAATGCCATCAAAATCTAAACAACGCATTTATGCCGAGAAGTGTGCCCGATTTGAACTGCTAATACGAAGAACGACAAAAGAAGCAAAAAACAAAGTTTTTCTTCTGCTCTATTTGTCACTTTGTTTCTCTTTCTGTTTATCTTTGTCTTCCCCTTTTCAAATTTTTTTGAGTTCATTTAAAAAGCGACATCATTAAAGAGTATAAAAGCAAGCAATTAAGAAACAGAGAAGGTTAAGAAAATAAACTGAAGAAAGAAACACTGGTTATCTAAATGAAAAAGAATGAAAAATTTGTTTGTAAGATTCCAGTATAACAAATATGCTTTTTTCTCCTTCTTTCTCCTCTTTAACGGCCATCCTTATCAAACAATAATTTAGAATAATCAGCAAAAAAAAATTAATCATTCAGCGGTAAAACATCCACAAACTCACATAAATATCAACACAGACATCATGCAGTTACGCACCAACAAAAACACATATGCACAAACGCACAAGTTCGCACACTTAGCTCGTCAGTAAAATGCAGTTTAAAACAGACTGCTAAGTGATATACTCAATAAATTCCGTTTATATCATAAAATATAATTATTTCTAGATTAATAAC